TGTTGGTACAGGCATATGGAAAGACAAGTATTAAAGTGGACTAGTGACCTAAATATATACAGGCCCGCTCGCTACCATCTAGTCTCGGCCCATGCAGTGAGTTGCTAGTAGAGGCAGACTGGGCGGCAAAGATCGGAACAGCACTACAGTACGAAGACGAAATCGTAACGGAAGCGGGAATAAGACAAGAATACAAAGCCCTCCGAGCCATCGAAAGGAACCAAGCGGAACTTAACTACAAACCAACGAAACTGGTAGACAAGAGACGATACCTTTCAACTTTGGCAGGGATTCTCGGTAACAAGGGGCTGAAAGAATGGAGATACAAAATTGGGAAGACCGAGTCGCCAGAATGCCGATGGTGCGGAAGAGCCGGGGAAAATTGGGAACACTTACGGAAAGACTGCACCGTTTGGGAAAAAAAAATGTGGAGGAGCGGAAGGTATAAGACAGTTAGACAAGGAAAAGAACTTGGCGGAGATTCTCGAGTGGGCAGGGAAGGAGTAAGGGGTTATACATACAGTCTTTACTTTCCTATTCTATGTACTTAAACATCGTCATAGCCCATAGGGCGGCATACGATCAATGAAATAAAAAAAAAAAAAAGTGAGTTGCTAGTGTTTTCGCGCATCATCATCCGCGTTGGATTCTCTATCACTGTTCTGGCCCACCGACGAACATTTTCCGGTTCGCGAACCGGCCAGCCGATTCGTGAACCGGCCGGCCCCGTGAAAAAACATATGGTGTTTTTCACGGGGCCAGCCCAGCCACGAACACCTGGCCCAGCGGCGAACATGAATGTACCTCAATGTACCTATATGTAATATATATACTCACTTATTTTTTTTTTTTTATTTTTTTTTTTTTAATATCATTACTCGCATGCCGCCTTGCAGGCTATGGCGAGGGTTTAGATACATGAATGATAATCAACGGAAAAATAAGTAACAGATAAGGAGATAAAGTGAAAATATGACCGGTTACTCCGCCGCCCAGTCCATCACCTCCGCCAACCTTCTCTCCCCCCCCTATATACTCGCTTATGATTTAATGTAATAGTGATCTATCATACAGCCAGTTAAGCAATTTCCACAGTCTCCTATCCCCCTATGCAGTCATCTATGTACAGACAATAGTACTTTTTTTTTTTTTTTTATGTCATTACTCGCATGCCGCCCTATGGGCTATGGCGAGGTATTTATTAAAGAAAGAAAATTAACCGTCACTAAATACATGTGGTGCCCGCAATACTCATACATGGTGCGGGTAGAATGTACACACTAGTCAATACAGCCTATTTCCTCCGTCTGTCCGGCTCGTATTGAGTGGTCCTCAACCATTTCCCACCTAACCTAACTCTGTCTACGCCCGTCGCTGCCTCCAAGTACACCAAGACCGAGCTGGTCATTTTTCCTTCTTCCAGTAGCGCGTTCTTTCGTCTCAGCCACTTTATCCCCGCGGTCTTGCCTAGCCTATCATTCCCGGACTCCAACCATTTCCGGACCTTCCCTAGATATACATCACTATGTTCACTCTCATTCTACTGGTTAGTACATTGACCAGAATTGCTTTTATTACAATAAGAACATTTAACCTTTTGACATATGCATGTACAACGAAGAGAAGAACAGGTACCTAGACAAGAACATGAAATTTTGTCTTGACAAGTTTTATCATGATGAGGTTGCTTCAAGTGGGTACTTGGCACTTGGCACTCTTATTATCTACTGTTTCTGGTAATACAACCACCAAACTTTTCATTCTTGGCATCAACGCAATCCCTGTTACTGCCACAATATAATACCAGAATGGCGGAGGATTCCGGAAATCTCTACCTATGAAGATAACACTCCAAAATTTCGCTTAGAGTAAGAAGAATACTAGAAGCATATTTAGTAATTTTCTTCTAGTGTTTCGGTTAACAATAATTAAGTTATGATTACAAATTGGTATTCTTAACTATAGCAGTCTAGAAGCGTAGTGAATTATTAAACTGTCTGTATTATCTTCTAGTATGTGGGTAAGAAGTAGCAACTTATCACCGACAGCAACTTTCAAGTGGCAACTTGTGGGTGGCAACTTGTCAGTGGCAATAGGGCTGTGCTAGCACACAGTAACTGGCTTATCAATTAACGCTGGTAGCAGAATGTTTCTCTATACTCAATCACTGGTAGTACGTAGAGGTACCTAGTGGTACTTGTACTAAACCAGTGTTCGTCGGTGGGCTGGCCCATTCGCGAATCAGCCAGCCCACTGACGAATTGGCCGGTTCGCGAACCGCAATGTTCGTCGGTAGGCCAGAACATCATCACCGTGATGGTCGTCCTTCTTGTTAATTTTCTACTGTTTTGCCTGAACTGCAGGCCTTGATTGGACCGAAGAGAATAAATTTTTCGAAAAAATATCTGGCAAAGGAGTACTGGCTTAATACCACGGGCTCGGACTCCAGGACAGCAATAGCCAAACTGCAAAGCAGAGCCAGAGGTGACCCAACCCCCGACGGTTCAGCACAAGCGGTCAGGGAGAAATGGGAAGCCAGAACCGCAAACGGAGATCATGACCTGGCCATCCTTTGGATCAAAGCACATGTCGGCATCTCAGGCAACACCAAAGCAGATAAGGCTGCGAAGGTCGGCACCGCCCTTCAATACCAGGACGAAATCGTCACCGAGGCGGGCATACGACAACAAATGAGAGCCCACAGAACAGAGGAGAGAGATCGCCTGAAGCTCGCGTATCCACCACTACAAAGGCTAGGGAGAAGACATCTGACGGCCACCTTGGCAGGCATACTAGGAAATAAGGGGCTCAGGGAATGGAGGTACAAGATAGGGAAGGCAGACTCGCCCGAATGTCGATGGTGCGGACGGGCACCGGAAAACCTGAGCCACATCACGACGGCCTGCTCGGCATGGAAGAAGAGAATACCTGGAGGATTAGAGGACCTGAAAACACCGCCGAAGACAAAGGGGAAGGAAGAGGGGGAGGAAGGGGATCTTTTTACGGAAATCTTGACATGGGCGGGGCAGGACTAGCGGAGTTATCACGCCAGTGTTACTTTAATATTTCCTATTTTCTCACCTATATGTACTTACTTAAACCTCGCCATAGCCTTTCAGGCGGCATGCGAGTAATGATATTAAAAAAAAAAAAAAAAAAAAAAAAAAAAAATACCACGGGCTACCTTCAATTGAGTCGTAGAGAAAAAGTAAATGGTGTGTATATCTATATCTTGTGTCTATTTGTGAGAAGAGAGGACGAGAGGACGAGAGGGGAGAGCTCTGAAGGGAAGACCAGAGCATAACAAGAGACCGCCATCTCCCTCTCCTCCCACAACGGGAAGTATTTTCCCCACAGGAAGTATCCAGCCCGTGCCTACTTTCACTCGTGGATGAACGTTGTTGACGACTCCGTTGTAATGGACGTTTCAGAATGAAGCGTAGAGCAATAGAAGGCCAAAATTGTGTATAGATAGGCTTTCAAATGCAACTCGCAAACTTTCTCGAACCCACTTGCTCCCTTTTCTCTGCCTGTGTTCCGTCTCTTACAAGAGGGTACAGTACCCAGGACATATAATTATAAGTCTCGCCTCTGCAAGGAAATTGAAAAGATGCATGCAAGTTCATGGAATAAGTGGTATCTCCAGGGCACAAAATCGATCGCCGTGGTAGTTGCATCCCCGCAAGTCAATCGATGTGGTTTGGCATCCGTACCTCTGCTCTTTGTACTTCCGCCCTTGTCGCGCAAACAAGCGTCAGATTGTAACAAATGCAAATCCATGTGACTGCAGTTTTGTTTACACTACGATCTTACATCACGGGTGACTATGAACTACAGGACCAAGAGAGGTGAACCCAACATTAAGGTTGCAGAGTTTCCACTTACACACATTGAATGCAAGATTCATCTAAACCCGATGGACCCCAGTCTCTTGCCCTCACAGAAGGGTATCTTGTCCACCCACGGCACCTAAATAAGTAACGTGGTGTTTGATGAATATGCACATCTCAGCCAGCGTCAGGATTATCGAAGTACTGTACGAGTACTTCTCTCCTCTGCTTCCCCAGCCGTACGCGACCGGGGTTTCCAATGTAACCTGCCATTTCGGGTTGGCTCTCTATCCTGGAAACAATCGACCTCTCTCTCGCGCAGCTGCGGCTGGAGTCCATTGACGAATGAACAGAAGTTGTGCATACGTACTAATATGTAGGCTACCGGCATTATCCCCGAGATATCCCCCAAGTTGCTGATTCTGCAGAAGCGAGCTTGCTGCGATCTTGGAAAGGAAACGTTTGGAAAATAGGCAACCTATATAAAGTACTTTTTATACTTCGTATGCAAGGAGTAGTTCGAGAGTTGCATGCGTCGGTAGTAAATGGAAAGTTTGAACAAAGTTTGCAAGCAAGGAGGTCTCGTCCACTATTACGGCCTGAGTAGGTAAAAAGGTTGCCTTTGGTTCAATTCATCATTACTGTACTTATCCGGACATCGAACTTTGTGGCCGCTGCTTTCCCGCGCTTGCGCGCGTATGCACGCTTGTGCATGTAGATACTTTGGTTCGGTCTTTTCAGGTAGATGATGCACCATTTAGCACGTGCGGAGTTGGAGCGATCGCAGGTTCACCGAAACATGCATGTTGAGACCAACCCTGCATATGTACCTATGCACACCTTGCAATGCCCTGTCCACTGAGGCACAATATTCTGAAGATAGTCGCCCTACGAGAATAGAGAGGATGCGATGTCGACTGGCAGGGGCCCTGGCACGATACTATCAATCTCTGACATTCGTCATAGCCCCCAGGGCGGCACGCGAGTAATGAAATAAAAAAAAAAAAAAAAAAAAAAAAATCTCTGACAACTGAATTTGCCACCCTTTCCCGTAGCACTGAGTACCTAACTCATAGGTGTTTTTCGGTCTCTATTAACTTAGCACTCACATGGCGGAAATATTCCAAGTACATTATGTGAAAGTTAGTATATTCAAATACCAAAAAAAATTGGCTGTGCACGGAATCGAACCGCGATTGTATCGGGCCGTTGAGGGACGCTTGGCAAAGCGCCATCCACAACGATACGTGCTACCATTACACCACACAACCTGTGTTCAGTGTTGTACAGGTTGGTAAAGAAATATTTATCTTGCAAAAGGCTCTGTCAAAGTGGTTGGATAATAACCTTCGCCAACACCCTGATGATTAGAGAAGATCGCCGCAATTTCTACCAGGCCTCCTCCAGGCAACAAGCAGAAGAATACGCTCCGCTGGAAGTGGCGAGTTGTCAAAGAAAATTATATAAATTAAGTTAAATGCACGCCACGACTGCGCCGGGCGCCTAGTACACTTATATCTATTAGTATGTATGCGCTAGTCAGCCGCTCCAATACTTTATGAACCATCGAGTATTCGCACTTAACTATTGTAACGCGTGTATCAGGCGAGAGGCGTGATCATGGCGTGACGTCGAGCGAAGATCAAAGGGTGATACAAGGCCTAGGGCATACTAGTACCTACCATGCTCTCATTACAAATCAACACTTAAACCGGCCAACCTCAGGGCCGCCACTCTCTTTTGAAAAAAAAGAAAGGGACACAAGTTCCAAGTCATTACCTACTAACTTTACGATGGATCGGACCAGATATTGAGCGTTGGATGTTTTATCGCGTTAATCCGACAGCGTCCTCAACCTTTTTTGTTTAGTTATTTTTATTTTTATCTTTCTTTTATTTATCTATATTTTCTTGTTCATTAATGCATTACTTGTCTGCAGCCCTGCTGGGCTATGACAAGACCTAGGGAGTGACTAACTGCAAAGAATAAGAAGAAAAGGAAAGGAAATTAAAATCATTCCCCCTCTCCTCCGCTCATCCTAAAGCCTCCATAGCCGGCTCCACAAACTCCTCAGTCTGTCCACCTCTCCCTCCTTCGGCGCCACCCATCTGTGCAGAGTCTTCTCGCCTGGCCTTACCTTAACTTTTGTATGGGCACGCGTAACTTCTACCAGGCAAGGCAGAGACTGGAGGCACAAGATGGGTTGTGGAAAAAATAAAGAAGCCAAGGAAAGTGGGTACTGAGGTGGTGAGGTGCAATTCATGTGGGCCAAGTCCTACATTGGAGTATATGGGAATGAAAAAGTAAACAAGGCTGCAAAGGCAGAGACAAAAGCTGGAAGTGGGGGGCTTATCACAGGGGGTGCCTCCACCAGAAAATCAACGCAGCAAGGAAGGCTAGCAGATGGCATGGCCTCGTAGGTCAGCTACAGTTTGCGGACAGGGAAGGACTTACCAAGGTGTGATGAGAAGAATAGGAAAGAAAGAGGATGTAGAGTGAAGGTGTGGGGGCGGTGCAAACAGAACCTCACCTGGCTTTCCACTGTACACAAGCATAGGGACGCCTAGAGGCCTTCACTGAATGGAGGGGTATGGGAGATATGTTCCTTTGTTCTGCTTCTGCGTGAGACAGATGTAGATAGTACCCTTCTCCAAACGTCCATGGGAGCTTGTCTTTTTTTTTTTTTTTTTTATATCATTAATCGCTGGCCGCCTTACGGGCTATGGCGATGTGCTATGGATTTATAGAGAAAATAGTAACTAGAATCAGCCCCCCCCTTCCCCTGAACGACCCTAAACGTAGCTGAAAGAAAATTAACGTCACTCTCCGAGCATCTCCATCAGCCTCATCAGCGGGTCTTCTCCCCCCTCCCCTTCGACCCTCGGTGGTCTCCTCACGTGATCCTCCCCCCCCGGCCACCTCCGCCGCCACACTCTGCACTGTCCTAGCAGATGTTTCGTTGTCTCCTCCTCCTCCTCGCACCACCTGCACTCTGGTCCGTCCCCTTCCCCAATATGCCACCTCCAAGCACGTAGACCCTTACCCCCCAGCAGTCCCGCCAACCTCCCTGTCAGGTGCCCCAACCTCTCTAGTGGTCTATATGCCAATTCCAACCGGTTTCTCTCCCCCGCCCTCTCCCTCCTTCCTCTTTGTCTCATACCGGCTTCTGTAACAACCTCTGGGGCACGCTGCAGTGCAGTACCCACTCTCGCCGCCTCATCCGCCGCCTCGTTCCCAGCAATGCCTCTATGAGCCTTGACCCATAGAACTGCCAAGTCCAGCTCCCCTCGCTCGACTCTCTTCTCCCACGCCTCCCTGAGCCGGTTCGTCGCTTCGTCATGGGTGAGACCCCACCTCGCCACGTCGGTCATTCTTTTGATCGCATGCCTTGAGTCTGTTATTATAAGTAGCTCCCCTTCCACCCTCCCCATCGCCTCGCTAATCGCCATCAACTCCGCGTCATTCACCGTGGCATCCTCTCCTAAGTATACCGACTTCGACACCCCCTCCCTGACCCACCCCGCCCCTGCTGTACCCCCCATCATGCTCCCGTCGGTGTAAACCGGTATCCACCCTTCGTCCTTGATGTCGTCGATGTGTCTCTCCCACTCCTCCCGCTCCGCGTCCCTTTGTAGCGTCGATATGACAGCCAACGGTAATTCCCCGCCATGCTTTAATGAACCTCTCAAGTATACCGTTCCCCCTTCCCTCTCCCTCAATCTCTCCCCTTCATATCTCAGCGCCTTCGCCTCCACTCGGGTAGACTCCCACCTCACAAACGCCTCTACAGACTCCAAATTGGCCAGCCCCTCCACCACGGGGAGCTTGTCATGGCATTCTACAAGCGGGCACTAAGCAAAAAAAGAAAAATTTCTACTAAACGAGCTGCAGGCATTGCACATTGGGAACATGCTTACTTGTTGTTTACCTACTTGTTACTCTACTCGTTTCTCCCATTGACCACCCAGCATAGGACTCATATTTTTGAACGGATCCGCAAACTGTTCGTTTGTCGGACCGCTTACACCAGCTATCTTTGGCCTGGTAGTCCTTCACCATTTCCACCCGCTTTTCTTTTCACTTCTTCCCTCCACCTCGAGCTGTCATTACGATTTCTAAAACGTGCACAAACAAGGAAGCCATGGCTTAGCAAAAAAAAAAAAAAAAAAAAGAGAAAAAAAACATTTAAGATACGGTGCACGCTGAGGAAGAAAAAATGAAAAGAAATAGCATTCGTACGTGCATCAGAACGAGCTCACACCCGAACAGAGCTCCCGTGCACCCGCAGTGTTTGTACTCGTTACCAGCATTTAGTGATGCAGGTGGGGGCGGTGTTGGCAGACCGTGCGAGAGGTCTGTATTCATGTGTGTAAGATGCAATATTGAACAACTTGAATGCACATTTGAGTTACTGAACATGAGAATAATTTCAACATTGAATTAGAATTGTGTATGTCCATTGTCATTGTCCACCATTTGCTATGATTACAGCTTGCACTCGTTGAGGCATAGAATCTATCGACTCTAATATCTCTTCACCAGTGATATCATCCCACTCTTCCAGTATTCTAGCAACAAGTTGTTCTCCACGAGGTCTAGGAGATCGCTTGTTCAGTCTCTTCTTCATTATTCCTCAGATAGCCTCAATAGGGTTGAGATCTGGAGATGAAGGCGCCCATGTCAAAGACTGTATATTGTACTGTACCAATTCCGAAACCATTGTGTTTGCTTCGCTGTATGAACAGAAGCACCATCCTCCATGACATACAGCCAGCAATTCGCAAATGCACTTTCTACTTGGTAGAAACGATTTAATTGGAATTGTACAGTTCTACGACTCGATATTGCATCCCACCACACCTAAACACAGACCTGTCGCACGGTCTGCCAACACCGCCCCCACCTGCATCACTAAATGCTGGTAACGAGTACTTAGTATATTCACAAGTTATTTGCTTGTTTTTTTGAGAGGAACAGCACCTCTTGCTTTAGAAACCATGCCTAGCTTAGTTAGGGCTACTCCGCCGACCATTCCATTCTATATCGCTGGTCCATCTGAAGCCCTTGTGTACCCAGAGCCCCCTGATACTCACAATTAAGATGCCACTAATTGATTTAAACCCCAGATGCTAATCGACAAGTATAAGCAAACAATTACTGTAGTTCACTACCTTCTCAGACGCGCTAGCAACCTGGACACATTTACAACCAAAACTGTACAAGTTCAACAACCAATATCTCCACAAATAGAACAGGCGGAGGCGAAAGCGCACCGGTCCCAAGAGAGAGACAGACTAGGTCTAAAGTACAGGCCGCTTCAGAGACTAGGGGTGCGGGTTGGCATCCTAGCGGGACTCTTGGGAGGAAAGGGCTTCAGGGCCTGGAGATACAAGATAGGCAAGGCAGATGGGCCAGAGTGCGGTGGTGCGGGGAGGAGGAGACAGTGGAGCACATATGGAACAGATGTGAAGTCTGGAGGAGGAGATGTCCGGGGGTCTAGAAGCGGTGCATCGGCCCCCGGAGGCAGAGGAGAGGAGAGGGGACCCCTGGCGGAGTTACTGAGTTGATGGAGAGATAGAAACTGAAGTGGTGTTCTCTATGGGGCATCAACTATGCCATCACAAAGGAAATAAAAATGCCGTTCGAACTCTACTCATTTTAGGAGCCCAGAAGGCCGAACACCACTCGCTGTCGCCGCAATTACGGGTCGTGAAAGAATCTGCAGATTACTATCGGATAGGGGAGCATGCTTGGAAGGGATAATCCATGGTGCCATTCTCCAGGGACATGACAAAGTAGTCAGGCTGTTGCTGGCAGATGATAGAATTAATATCAATATCGTTGATGAGGATGGCTGCAGCCTGTACACCATTGTATGCAGCAGCTCGTCAGGGACATGAAAGAACTGGTGGCAATGGCGAAAGCCTTGGAGGAACGGGACCAGGAGATACTCCTGGTAACGGATTCCAGAGTGACCATCCAGAAGCTCAAATGCATTGCTGAAGGACGCCCGGCGCCCAGGGGGGCCGCCCACCTCACCAGGAAAGCAATTTGGAAAAGAAAATGGCCAGGAGGGATGAAAGACCTGGTCGAGCCACCTGAGGATAAGGACAAGGACCCCTTGGTGGATATACTGGAATGGCCGGACACTTGAGTAAAGGGATTTTATTCACTATTATTTTCCTTCGGGACCTCTCCGGGCAGGCCAATCTGGCCTGCCCGGATGCAGGGGTATCGACAGGGGATTGTAGACTAGCCTATGTACTTCTTA